TTTTCACCAAAAGCTTGCTTCAACATTTGGTGCATTTCTGCAGCAGTTTTCCCAAGTTTGAAACAAAACTTTATACAGACATGCTGCTCTCTCAGGTCAGTCATCACAAAACCGCAAACTCACGGAAACAACAATGGAAATACGTTCACCAACAATAAACCCAACCACTCAACTCAACGCCGCTTACCACACTGATTCAAGGAGAATGTGTGAGGAGACACCTAGCGGTATTTCGATGTACTCATAACCATTCGCTCGCAAAATTCAAATTTCGGAAACTTTTGGATTGCCCCACGTATATCTTTCTTCTGCCCACCCAGCCTTCTGTCCAGTGGTTACTGGGACAAAGCTGTCGAGTCTTGAAGCCTCGAACTAGTGTAAAAGTCAAGAATATGTAGATATATACATCCACTCCCTCAAGCATATGCATGGCATAGTGCTTAATTAGTTAAGCACAGGGACAACTTTATTTTACCTTTACCTGACAGTTTGGAAATTTCATTGACATTATGTAGATATTATCCTGGACATGTTCATCCTGTCAGATATGTTTACATGCACAGTCAACGAGGCCTGGAGACAGACCATAGAGCTGGAGATCATAAAGTGAGCAGTTGGATCTTCTGTCAGGATTCAAAAAATGGGTGTCAGAACAATGTGGAGGAGCTAGCCACAGCCCAAACAAAAGAAGAGACTACCCACAGCTGTAAGAGTGGCAGCCACTCTCAGGAGTTTTGTCTGCACTGACCAGAAGGAGAAAACGGCAATACAGCTGCGGCAGCATAATTTGCTGATTTGAATTTGGCGCCAGGAAGCGAGGTTTGGCCGTTGGGGAGTGTGGATGGTCTCATTCGAACGGGTGGGTTGGGAAGTTTGTTCTTCCTTCCACTTTAGTACCGAGAATGCATTGGACGAAGGAACAGCGCGCGTTTGCTGTAGAGGCTTACTTTTCTAACAGTCGCTCAATCGTCGCCACGCAGTGAGCATTCCGCGCGCACTTCAGTATTTCCGCCCGAGCTCGTGTTCCTGGTCGGCAATCGATTGTTACGTTGGCAAACACATTCAGGAGAACTGGCAGTGTGGAAAAGAGAAGATCAGGGGAACGGCTCATCAGATCACCCCAAAACATCGAGGTGGTAAGGCAGTCTTTTTTGCGATCTCCTCGGTGCTCGGCATACAAGCATGCAGCTGCCCTTGGAATGTCTGATCGTTCTGTGAGGCAAATTCTTCATGATGACCTCCACTTTCATCCTTACAAGTTGGCTGTGGTGCAAGAACTCACTGAACGTGATTTTGCTGCTCGGCAACATGCATGTGAAGTGTTCCTTGAAACTTTGCCTGATGATGCGCTTGTGTTCTTTAGTGACGAGGCTCATTTCCATCTTTCTGGATGCGTGAACAAGCAAAACATGTGCTACTGGAGTGATAACAATCCCCGAGAACTTCATGAGAGGCCCCTTCATTGTGAACATGTAACTGTTTGGTGTGCACTGTCGAGAGTAGGGATTATTGGTCCCTACTTTTTTGAAGAGAATGAGGTTGCAGTTCCAGTGAATTCTGTTCGCTATGTGAAAATGATCGAAGAATTTTTTTGCTAAGTCTTGACAAAATGGATGTTGGGGATGTGTGGTTTCAGCAGGATGGAGCCAAGGCACACACGGCGCAAACTGCAATGTGTGTTTTGCAGGAACACTTCCCCGGTCACCTGATTTCTTTGAGGGGCGATCTTCAGTGGCCGGCGCGCTCACCCGATGTAGCCCCTTGTGACTATTTCTTATGGTGGTCTCTGAAATCCCTCGTGTACACCGATCGTCCAAGGACCCTTGCTCAACTGAAGGAGAATATTCACCAAGCCATAACCAAGATACCCATCACTATGCTGGAAAGAGTAGACCGATTCTTCAGAATTCAGGCAAATCAGTGTATCGCCAATGGGGGGGGGCGCCACTTGTTGGATACAATTTTTAAAACAGAGTGAACGTAAATTTCAAATGTTGTAGAACAGTGTGGTCCAACCCGCGGCCCGTGGGTTGGACCAGGAGTTATGTGTTTAATGATTTGAAGCTGAAATTAACTAGACAGAAGAATATCTTTCAGCAGCCATCAAACACTGCTGGTTTGAAGGCATCTTATGAGTTATGTTTTGCACCGCGCCCTTCGTCTTCCTCTCCACCGATTACTATGAATCATTACTATTACGAAGAGGAAGGGCACAGCGCAATCGTTACTGGCTCTATTGTCGGTTCGCACGCTCCCCTAGATGGAGATGGGGTATCCAAGCTAGGAGGAGGAAGCTACACTCAGTTCAGTGGCTAAGATAAAACAAATACAATTTTAATAACAAAATATACAATACATAAATAACAAAAAGA